CTAGGTTCCAGCATAAGAACATCCAAGAAGCTACATGGCTGTCTCCAGATCGAAAAACGAGAAACCAAATCCATCATGTTGTGATAGACGGAAGGCATGCTTCAAGCGTTTTAGACGTACGTACACTCCGAGGGCCAAACATCGACTCGGACCACTATCTTGTTGTAGCCAAGATACGCACCCGCCTCTGTGCAGCAAAAAGATGGCGCCCAACAATGCAAGGAAAGCTTAACGTCGATAAGTTCACAACAGATGGCCACTTTATTCGCCACTCGACTCACACCCCTGCTCTCTGAGAGCACTCTTCAACAATACGACATACGCGAGCAGGGGACCACATTTCTCGATCATTAAGTACCGCCGCCGAAAAAGTAGTTGGATTTCAGCGAGCCCGAAAGAACAACTGGTACGATGAGGAATGTCAAGAAGCCGCAGATAAAAAAGACGCCGCCTTTAGTGCCACGCTGCGATCGGGCGCAACGCGAGTAATGTGGGACCGTTATAGGGAACTGAAGAAGGTAGCGAAACGAATTTGCCGCAATATGAAGAGAGAGGACGAAATACGTGAGTGCGAAGAGCTTGAGATGCTGGCCGACTGGAAGAACGCCCGAAAATTCTACCAGAGGGTTAGGCGACTTACGGAAGGTTTCAAGACCGGGGCGAACTCCTGTAAGAACAACAATGGCGACCTAGTGACCGATGTCCAGAATATACTTAAATTGTGGAGGGAACACTTTTATAACCTACTGAATGGTAGCAGCGCTGAAAGTAGTGAGGAAGACGAACCCGAGTCCCCAGTCGATGATGATGGAGTAGCTGTCCCACCGCCTGACTATGACGAGGTACGAATAGCGATTACGCGGCTGAAAAACAACAAAGCTGCTGGAGCTGACGGCCTGCCAGCCGAGCTATTCAAGTACGGCGGCGAGGAGCTGATGAGGTGCATGCATCAGCTCGTATGCAGAATATGGTCAGATGAACGCATGCCCGACGACTGGAATTTAAGTGTGCTCTGCCCAATCCACAAGAAAGGCGACCCCGCCATACGCGCCAACTACCGCGGAATTAGCCTTCTAAGCATAGGTTACAAGGTCTTATCGAGCGTATTGTGCGAAAGACTGAAGCCCACCGTCAACGAGCTGATTGGACCTTATCAGTGTGGCTTTAGGCCTGGAAAATCCACCATAGATCAGGTATTCACAATACGCCAAATCTTGGAAAAGACCCGCGAGAATAGGATCGACACACACCATCTATTTGTCGATTTCAAAGCCGCTTTCGACAGCACGAAGAGAAGTTGCCTTTATGCCGCGATGTCTGAATTTGGTATCCCCGCGAAACTAATACGGCTGTGTAAAATGACGTTGAGCAATACCACCAGCTCCGTCAGAATAGGGACGGACCTCTCCGAGCCGTTTGATACCAAACGAGGTTTCAGATAAGGGGAC